GGCTGCGGGGCCGCCATAGCTCTTTGCTTCGAGGAAGCTAAGCATAAGACAATGACATGTTCTTTTCAAGAACCATTACGACGGTAGCGGACTGCGATTCTCTTTAAGTAACGGAAACGAACACTTCTGTTAAAATCAAAACTGTTGTGATGCTTTTTGTCGCTGCAGAGCCGACACTAACTAAAACCCTAGGTTCTCCTAATTATTATAGTATTACCGTATTAAAATTGCAAAACCTATTAATATAGAAATATGATTTCCTGCTGGCAATCATGCCACGTGATGGCGCCTTGTTACGATGTAGTCATGATTATACTAACTTGTGTAATACATATCTCTGTATGTTCGTACCCCCGCCCTTTCATACAAGGGTACGTGTAACCCCGTTACTCTCGCCGCCCATTAAAATTGTGAATTTCCCCAATTCACAATTAACAGTCGCCTCATACGAGGCTCGCGTGTCTGAGACACCTCAACGTTCTTTACGAACAACCTTAAATGTTCTCCGCTCTATGAGCCCTGTGTCAACGACACGCAAGACAGCCTGCCTAGCTAGTAGCGAGAGCGCCCGCAGGCGAAAAATATCCTCTTCTTGCATCTCCGGAAAGACTACCAGCCTCGCCCGCAAACAGAGCTCTTCTTCGTCTCCTGCACGCGGGGCATCTCCGGAGAGTACGTCCGTGGCTTTGCGGGACGCACATCTCAAGCCCTCGACGGTATCGGACACCACCATTCTCATCGAGATGAGTCGGCGGCGGATGGTCGATCACCGTTTGGTGACCCGCGATGCTGTTCGAGTGTTGGACGACAAAGCCCGTCGTTGTCGGCACTCTGCCGAACATCTCTCCGAGGCCGCCCACCGCTGTGCGGAAGACCTCGAGAGTCTGGAGCCCTTTGTGCACCGACTGCCTCCTGTTGAGGATTATCGTGCTCTGTCGGAGCGCCTGATACTTTGGTACTAAAAATTACAGAGAAGTGCTATGTAAATTACGTACGATTGCACACACCTTACGTATTTGTAAGGTACATACACAAGTACAAGTTCAGTCGTATATTAAAATCACCCCCAAAAAATATCAGTTCGACCTCCGAATAATTCCAAAGTTGCGTACAAGAAAAGTCGCATTACACAAAATGCCTTAGCTCGTACATCAAGCCATACAGCGTTTCATGCCTTCTTATCACGCATTCATTATGTCTGCTTGGTCTTTTGCGCAAGAAGTTTGCAATATTTGATATAGTGTACAATTCTGCTTAAAATAGCAAGACATCTTTTCTGGTCTTGGGCTTTTTGCGACGATATATCTTCCTTTTCGTGCGTACTGCTGACAAATTCTTCAAGCTTGTTCGCGTGGCAAATAATATAACACTTGGTTGCGTCATCATAAAAGTAAGAAGAATACGTGCCGGAGCAAATCGTATATCGACCACCATGGTCAAAAAGAAAATTTTATATTTGAAACATTTGGCGTGAACTCCCTTGATTCACAAAAATTCTTCGTAAGTGACTGTGGAGTCGTAGCTGCTATTGATAAGATTGATCATCTTGTGATACCATATTGCATGCGTTTTTGCTTTATCTAATGTGTGCAGCTCTTTTTTAACTGTCTTCCTCAAACGATGCGAATTGTCAAATTTTTAGAATCCCCATGACTTTTAACGAGCTTCTCTTTTCGAGAAAGTTGTCACAACTTCGCGTTTATAGTTGATAGTAGGAAGCATAATGGTTTATTATTGTATAATTTTGGATACAGGCCTAGTTGGGGTGAAGACGTGAATCAAAACCGTGACACCTCGGTGAAATCAATTATCTTGTGTAGGTATCGACTACCTTATCAAAAGAACTTGTGAAATGATTCGAACCAGTTTCTAAGTTAGCGGCGAAGCAGTTTAAAGCTGGTCTTTACGTGTGTTGAAAAGGGCCGCCACCGACACCAGCGTCAACACATGCTTGACTTGGATCCGCAGACGTAGCGAGGTTGGTCTCTGTTGTTCTACTTGCAGACGTTAAGGTAGAATCAGGCGTCGAGGAACTTTCAAACCGACCACGATAAGCCCATAGACCTAATGCTGGGTTTGATATATAGAAGAATCGCTCGCCGTTCGCGTCCACATTCCAGCCATCCTGCAATTTCTCCACTGGATACTTGGCCATCATTTCCTTCAACTCCCCATAGCCAAAACCCACACCTTCGATTTTCTCCTGCGAAAGCTGTCCCGGGCAGTATGTAATACGAAAGCGGCCCTCCGAGGAGCCGTGGATTAGATGAGCTGCGGCACTTAGATTCTTCATCAAGTCGCGATTGGCATTTAGATGAGCAAGCACCTCCTAAAAAAACATGAGACTTCTATTTCTAGCTCCCTTTTGTAAAATTTGTGCATTGATGTCGTACCGGGGTCGTGCGATAACCATACTTGCGAATAAGTTCGTCAATTCGTTTGTCTTCTCCAAAGCGCGCCACCCCAGGAGCAAGCACGATGAGCTCGCCATTATCTGCAATAGCCATGCGTGTGCGATAAATAGACTTGTTGCCGAGCCACGTAGATTTGAATTCTTTCGGGTCCAGATACACAACCACTTTATCAAGTGGTGCATCCAGAAGCTCGAAGTTTACTTCCAGGGATAGCTCAGCAGCCTTCATAAAGCATTCTTCATCGTCACCTATAAACACACCACGAGTCACGAGGTCGCCGTTTCCCCTACAGCTAACAGTGAGTTTAAGCAACAAGACATGAAGTTTACAACAGTGTCGCACCCGCGGCCAATCACAGTTTGTATGTAGATAAGTGGGAGCTTTTTAAGAAAGTGAACTGAAGCGTAATTGAGAATACGACGCAATGGATTGTCGGCACGTCCCATCATTCGTTCCATTCCGTAAACAGCTCCAATGAAATGCGAAAAGTTGATACCTTCGCTTCCGCCAGTGCCAACAAAAATATTCTTGTTGAAATTAGCCATACCCATAACCTCATGGGGAACAACTTGGCCGATAGATAGCACCAGATCATGACCACCATCCCACAACTGAAAGTTCGAAATAAATTAACTAGCGACACCGGAAAATCAAAATCAAACGACTACATACAAGTTTGTTGATTTGGGCTGGCCACGGCTCGTTAACTTTGCCATCGCTTGCCTTTAAGACGAGCTCTGCAGGCACCTCCCCAATGGTTACAACGTCATTCCTAGTAGTAGCACAAACTGCACTTAAATCTCGTTATATACAAAGTTTCCACCAATATTCAGCGCACCTCCAGTCATGCACACGAAAAAGATCTTTCGGTATGTCACCAAACATCTGTTCACAATTATAAGATTACAGTAAGATATGAACATGTTACTTGTGTCGTGTCTTACTTTGCTGATCTCCTCATCTGTCATGGCATCGTGTGTTCCCAGTGCCGGTAGTACGTCCGTAACTCTTCCCTTTAAATATTCATAGGCATACTGCGACAGCACCCCCGACTTGCTACAATAAAAAAATATTGTTACTCTATGACATCATTTATGAAGTAGATCAATTGATGCGTACGAATGGAATCGCGTAAAGTCTGGGGGAACGATCGCCACCTTCTTAAATTCATCACCGCGTTGCGTCTCGAGCTTTTGCAATGTAGCTCGCACAATCTCGCGAAGTTGTGCGTCTGACAACTCGGTGTCCTTCGAGCCTTCCGCAAAGAACAGTGTCATAGTTGAATTTACAGATGATGATTGACTCAATCTAAGTTTTAGGATTGTTTTAACCTGGAAATTAAATTTAAGCCAACAATTAGTTAATTAGTCTGCTTTCATTGCTTTGCTGTCCTTACATCACATCAAAATACTAATGCAGTAAAGGTCTTCGTTTCATACAGCTACACCACCCCACTGCTGACGGATTTATCACGATATTAAGCTTTCAATCTCCCAGTTGTCAAAGAGTCAAATTAATGGCTTGTTCCTCTCCTTACCATCAGAACGCTAGTGTATAAAATACGCAAATTTACCGAATTTACCGCTTATGTAATTTCCCAATGATTGCCCAGACCAATCTGTGACGTGTTTGATTTGCGAACTTAGGAACTTAGAGAATATTTCTCTGTCTTACCAATTTTTTCAGTTCAGATCAAACCAGATTAATCTTTATTAGTCATCTTCCACGCATCCAGCCAGCAACTCTGGGCCATATGCATCGTGTGCGGCTTGCGTTATGCCTTATAAATGTTCCAAGTGATCATAACTCTTGAAGCACGGGATAAACATACAGCACAGTGCTCGGAGATACACGTCTCGATCGTCAGTAAAGTTCTTTAGTGCTAAAATATCAGCAGTTTTGTTTTTGCTGTAGCGCTCTGCTGTACCATCGCCTTTGAGCCCATCTGCTGCCGGCTGCGTGAGCGGGCAACGTGTAACGAGCGGGAAAGATACCGTATTTTGATTACGCGTACACATTATACAGCTTTCATGTACTATAAATAAGAAATTAGTGTAAAGTTTGAGTGGGGGCATGTTTCCTTAGGACATGTGTGCTGCTAGCGCTGTCCCTACTACAGCAAAGTAATTATTGAATTGTCAAGTACTTGATGCAAATTTGTGTGAGTACTGACCGACAGCCACTGTAGGGAGCCAATATTGAGCAGAGGGAGAGGGACTTTCGCAACCATTTGTTTGGTTTGGCGAAATTGTATCATTTGAGCTGTTGTATCACGTGCTGCAAATGACGCATAAAAAGCGGCATTGATCAGAACGATTTACCTGTCATCGCTCAAAGGTCAAGGCGCTTGCTTCATTTAAGTTTACATGTCGAATCAAGTAATGCTTGGAGTTCTACGCGGTGATGCGCCTGGATCAGTGAGGACACCGACATTTTGTTCATGTCACTTCCAGCTCAAGAAGTTGTATATGTATGTCGTATACCCGTTGATAAGCTAGAATGAAATAGCCGAACGATACCTGAGGTCGTTGCGCTGGACTAGAACTAAACTGGCAAGTATGTCAAAATATTTGGGTGACCCTATGCTGAAGAATTTACTTCGGTTGCGATAGTAAAGCTCTGATCAAAACGGGCATAGGAAAGAAGCCTACGCTTTTCATTCGCGTTGAAGACGATAAAGGCGCGAACGAAGTTTTGATGTAGACTGACGAGACCGATAAATGTATTCTCCACTTCGATTTTGAGGAGCATCTATGCAGTGACACCAGCGCACAGATTCACTGAAACCATCTGCAACAATTTCACAACCAGAGCGCTGGTCATCATGCCAAGATCATGACGAGAAGTCCGATGCTGCGTCGCAGCGTACGATGAAAGAGCCAAATTGCAAGTCAGCAATGAAATCCAGCGATGCAGCAAAGTGGAAGGAAATATAAGACTTATTATGCAATACCGTAGACTCGATATTGGGGCCATTGTCAAAGATCCTGGTTTTTACAAGTCAGAGTTTTATGCAAGTGCGTCAGTACGCATCTAATGGCTAAAAAATTTTCACAGAAAAACGTTAGCAACTATGAGAAGACTTGTGTGTCAGTACTTTGATTGTGATTGTTCTTAGTATGACATTCACGCAAAGCATCATTAAATGGATGTCAGAATTGCCTAGGTTGTCGTTCTAGCGATATGTGCCAGGAGCTTTTTTTGCCACAATATAGACTTCTCTACAAGAGAATCGTAGTGGTACGCGTGGACGAAGGTGTAAAATTGGCGGGGGCAGACAAGCCACTTTTTAGAAATACCGAGACACAGGTGCGCAATGTAGGGCTGAGAGACAAAGCAAAAAAGGTCATATGTCAATGCAAGAAGCACAAGAATATATTGGGGCGATGAATGCTGTTTAATGCAATCAATCGAACTAAATTCGGCGTCTGCGGTCTATAAGGCTAAGTTGCAACCGCGCCACATCAAACCATACATTTTTTGCAAATGCAGTATTGAGCTCAAAATTCTGTAGCGGACAGAAACATATTCCACACTTTATGTGGGCTTAATGAAGCCATGTCACGATCTCAGTTTGACAAACCAGTCGAACGTGAATGGCTATTGTGGACAGAGCATCGGCTTAGCCATCACTTGAAGTGGAGCTAACATCATTCCCAGTGCTGCGACGTCGTTCTGAACCGTTGGTGTAGCGAAGTTGCCGTAGTTCTTTTGCCTAAAGGAAGCTTAATTGAGGTCGGTGACCTTCGTTCTATACTTTAAACCAGTGTGAATGTAGCGGATTGCAATACGCTTACTGCAAGAGTAAAATCAACCTTTACCCAAGGCTAATTAATTAAATATGCAAACTATACTTCTCTGTTTTACCTGCGGCAAAGCCGCCTGTATCTGAATCTTTACTTTTTCCTATCTATATAGTAAAATCTTGTTAAATATATAACTACTGGCTGTTACAGCCAAGTACTGACACGTTGTTTAGTTATAGCGACACCATTCTATGGTCACAGTATCATGTATAACCCACACCATTATGTGATCACACCATCTTCTGTGACCTCGCTACAGTTGGGGTTGCCTCAAACGAGGCAGTGATATAAGGTCTAACTCGTCTTAGCCTCGGGTTCATGCCATGACAATCGTAGAGAGTCGACAGCTGTGAGATCTCACGAGAGCCTTCCACAGGAGGGTCGCCTTCCTTTGGTACTTCTTGGTGAGCAACAGGTGGCTCAATTTCGTATGGGGCGTTTGGTGGGCCGGCGGGTTACCGGAATTGTCACCAGGGGGTTATCGGAAGCCAGAGAAAAATATATTGGGGGGAGACATAGGTTCCGATTCGGCGAGATTGCTGTGGTATAGAGCCGCTTACAACCTGGTGTATTCTCAGCTTTTACTGTCTTTGCAGCAGAGTCAGAGTCGCCCGCCGCAGCGCTCTTCCCATAAGTTTCAGTAGACCGACCTTGCGGTAATTTGAGCCCTTAGTCGGTAGCTAGTTCAACCGTGTCAATTCGAGCAGCGAAGCTGTTAATTATTGGAATTGGAGGTAAAGGGCATCCATCTCAACATTTGAGTCGTGCTTTACACCTCACGGAGACAAGCATGGGACGACGCCATAGACGAACGTCTACGTTGCTAAACATGGCTTATATTATATTTACCGGGCTAGATGACGTATTTTTATGACCCTGTTTGCCAATTGAAGGCGATACACTTTTGCACTCTCGTCAGCTGCAAGTACCCGGGGTAAATTCGTCCTGAAGATCCTGTTTCCCTTGCCGCTGTGGCTTTAAGCAGAGGCGGGCCTCCTGAGGGGAGATGACCTGTGGGAATGGATAGAAATCATCGGATCACTTCTCCTACGTGAGATCGGGTGGACTGCACAAACGATGCAGCCTTTTACACAGGTCGCTCATGGGGGTAGACGATCCTAGTGTGCTTAGCCGTAGAAGCATTCGAGACTGAGCAAGTGCGTCGCGGCTTGATGGGAGTCTTCACGTGCTTCAGAAACAGCTCTGGATATTTTTTGTTGATCAGACACGCTCTCGGGTTGCACGACACCCCAAGTTGCTCAAAATCAAGTTGCTGCTCTAAGGTAAAAGGTAGTCAGATACTATAAAACCTTTGATTTAGCGGAGTCTTTAACATTACGGCTTGTGTCCAGCGGCTTATAAGATTGAATCACGATACCCGTCTAGAACCCCGCATATAAGTGCAGAGTGTGCTCGCATTCACTGCAGTATTTACAGATTATTCGTGGAGACTGCAGACATTGCGTTTGTAGTGAATAATTGCGCCGAGTACATTTTTACCACTTCCATCAAATTATATGTATACATAATTTTATGGTACTATGAATACTTGTTTTCGACCGAAGCGCGAAATAAGCGTATGATGCATCTTCATAATTACTTTGTGAAACAGTACGAAGTATGATCTGGCTGATATAAGCAAGTCGATCAATATCGACAAAGCCGAAAAGGAACTTATATGTGGGGGTGTCAAGGGACACAGGGATCCATACCTTTCATAAAAAACGTCCAAAAGCCTATGGAGATGTGAAATGAATATTTGGCGCATACGCATTGCGTTGGTGTATGTGACTTCAGCACAGCGGTCGTTGCTCCGCGCAATTGCTCGAACAGATACCTTCATATCGCGACAAATGAGGCTTGTTTGACTACGGAGCTGCGGTCCGCCGTGAGCATACATGTTTAAGTTATGCCAAAACTTGCTTAAAGCGCATACTTACAACAACCTATACGAAATAGAAAAAATGCACCGCATACGGCATCGTATGCAGTGCATTTTCGTTAAAGCTGCTAATGACTCGCTTGGCTGCTTAGAAATCTTATTCTATGTTCTTAAAGGAACAAAGTCTGCGGGTATATTGCAAATGATAAGACCATAGTGGATTGGTCAGTCTCATCTTTTTGAAGAAATTTACAGAAATTGCTTGGCTTGGCTCCGACCAGTCAATGTATCTTGTCTGTGACGCTTTATCCTATGTTATAGGCTGTGTGACAACAACGGCAAACTGGCATAAAGGCATCATTGCTTTCTGTACTCGCAAGAAAACTGTAAAGATTAAATATTCCCCACTTTACTATCATGACCTACTTGCCATTACGTATGCTTATGTCAAATTTAGGGTACACCTGCTTCGCCTTAAAACATCTGCGACATAGACAGACCATCCATAATTCTGCATGGCATCATTGTCGCCACACCTGATCGACAAGGATAACCTTCGTTGCAAAATGTACTTAAAGTACATGCTTGGCTGGCTTAATGTGGTGGCGGACGAGGTCTCTCGACGCTCTGATTGTGCGCTGTTCAAGTCACAATTTTGCCGCCATGCTTTGACGATGCTACTTCTACGGCGAACGAGTCAGCCGCAAAGTGTTATGTGCATAGCGCTTGGAGCTCAATATAGTTTTTATAAGGGCTGTCAAGCCCATTTTCACAGCCACTTCTTCTGATAATTAATGTTTTATATCCAGAGTATGATTGAGATGTAACGTGCAATTGTATATCAAGGCAGAAATCTCACGAACAAGCATCTATGTGAAGCATCTAAGCGAGCATCTTGGTAGAGAAAAGACGTATGGCTTCATTACCGCCTTTAACTAATGGCTCAGTAGCTACTATGTGCGCACGAGTGAAACGTGCCAAAAGATAAATCCTTGTCGCATGCATCGAAACCCTAAGTCAGTCTGCACTGATCAAAAGTGTACTGACAGCGTATCAGTATGGGCATAACTTGAACTTATTCGAGCGTTACAATATTTTTCTGACTGACATAACGAAGCGACTCATCCCGCCGTGGTCAGCGACACTGTCGCTGAAGATAAGGTCAAGTCTTTTGCCGATGTGGCTTTCCTGTGAAACTTGTATCAGAACAAGATATACGCATTACAATAAAATGATGTCAACCTTGTTATATGGTAGTCTAAACATGTTCACAGCGATTCATTAACGGACCAGAAAAAGTTGATAGTGTCGCGGAGGGGGTCATTTAGAACACTTGCTTAAAGTGACCACGGTCCTGGAGCGACTTCCTCTCATACTTTTAATTTAAACTGATCCACGCCTTTTACAACTCTTCGGCCTTCATAAAACGATTGATTAATTGTTAAAATAATCTGCGCGTGTAATTGGCAATTCCACAACATGCTTCGATTTGCAGACGAGGGTACAGTTCGACTTGCTGATATCAGCGAAGCTTTACTTTTCAGAAGATAGCGTCATGCATAAATGAAGACACTTTGGCTGTATTTCAGGATACATAAAAGCACCATGCAGGTTCCAAACGCAGACTCGGCACGTACGTAAATGTATCCAGCATCGGGATCTTGTAAAATTAGTAAGGCCGCATCATAATTTCGCTCACATGAGCTACATAATTTCGAAATTTCAACAAGAGACAACTATACATCTCAACAAACCCTAGTGCCTAATCTGGGGTATACTCTCAAGCAGTGGTCGAGCTGGCGAACAACTTGGCGCGTCTCTAGCCAGTCATTTCGATAGTGCTGCTCCCCGAGCGTAATTTAAAAAGGGTGGCCGACGCACGTTGATATTCTCGCAGTGATTCGTCGCGCTATTAATTTCAAAAATGTGAAGGGACAATCATGTGAGGATCGGCGCTCGCTAGTTTCCCGATAAGCCTTTTCTTATGAAATGAAGTGTAAGCCAGCGTTTTTGTAGAAGAGGTTCCCGCAGAACGAATGGCTATTCCCTACACCGAGGCGCTTTGGTAGTTTTTGGGTCTATCTGGAATTGCTGAGCCTCATGACAAAGTACACACATAATAGATTCCTTCTTTGGGAGAGACAAGATAAATCAGTACAACGCGCTTTTCACTAGCAAACAAGACCAGCCAAGCAGCATTAGTCAATAGCGCATGCTCGTGGGAATGAGCAGGGATAATTATAGCATGCAAATTAGGCGAGGGCGTAGACCTACCCCGACGTCGGTACCAATCTCCTTACCTTTAAAAATTACCAAGCAATAAATCAGATGGACGCCTACTTTGATTATGCCAGTAAAGCCGCAGTTGGTAAAGTAAATAGCCTATATTACGCTATGCTCAAGCCGATTTTTACCGTTCTCGTCACTGATACTGGTCTGCATACAGTTCTCATTTGCTAATTCAATTGCAAATAGTCCATGTGAGGAGTAGTGACTGTTCGTGTCTGGAAGCGCATGTGGAGTAAGTCTCGCGTGCACGGACTGAGCTACAAGCTCACATACGTAAACATCTGAGGACTAAGCAGCAATGCGTAAATGTTTTCAGTCGGATCCCTGGACTTGTAACTTATATATCGACGTCACGTAGCCGTAACCAGCGTTGTCGAATGTCACTGTGGCTTGTGTGCACGTTGACAGCACATTGAACGCTTCGTGAAAAGATAAGTTTATTTAAGTGAAACCCGCCTCATTAATATTTCCCATAGCGTCACGTTCCGCTTTGAAATTGGGTACGATTGTGCAGCTACGCGAAGGTGAGTAGTCATTTATACCTCTTCGAGGGCTTCGATTGAAGAACAGCGACAAAGCCGTGTAGCCCTTTAATAAGACACAGAGGGCGCGTCAGAGCCTGATGAGCTGCTTTGACAATAATCATCAACAAAAAATATTGCCTACCTCGTGCAAACAGCCCTTCGTAATGTCGGCCATAAGGTTGCGTCTTTCTTGGCATAATGTCGAGCTATATGGTTAGGCAGAAATTCAAGGAAAAAAATGCTGGTGCAGCTGATGCTCATATAGCTTTCAATTTGATTGTTTCGGTAAAGAACAAAAGAGGTTGTGATCCTAATGGGAGACACGTCTTAGCAGATGATGATGGTGTAACGGGTAGAGACCCTGTTGTGGTGCACGTGTATCTCGGCCTAAAAACAAGAGTCTTATAAAGACCATGGTGAAGCCACATAATAACGACTGCAAATAACACTAGGAGCAATGTCGCAGAGAGATTACATCGAAAGGAGAGGTCCGTGAGACACGTGGGCTCTTCAAAAATTTTGCGTCGCAATTAAAAATCATCAACTTTATGATCAATCTGATTTCATTTCATGATCATTCCTAGATCACTTTGTCCGTTTTGAATAATAATAATCGTTCTTTCGGTGGTATTGCAGATTTGAAAGGTAATGGAATGTTCATAAATGCTTTAGCTTCTGTTCCCGGGGGCATAACACCTCGAGTGATCAGATATAATATTGTTTTATACCTAGCTTTTTAATCGCATACACATGAGCACCGCTCACATGTGTTTAATATCGCAATCCACATCTAACTCTTCGCTTTCGCGCGACTATAGCTGAGTATATCGTTGAAATGGATTTGCGCATAGCCACAGTATGGCCAGAACATTGCGACGCAAGATCATTGAACGTCGCTGGCGCATTGGAACGTACCTATGGCATATCTATTCACTCCCCAATCATCTTGTTCAAGATAGTTAACGCAGCTAGAGAATTACTGCTGTTTTTCATCAGCAATTGATTATATATAAGCATGGCTCAAGGCACGAAACAAAATACGGCCGACCATTCGATTCTGAAGCACATCATTTCCAGAAATTGGCGATTGCGCCGATAACATGGCAACTAAATTCATTCTAAGTTTGCGCAATTTGTAGCTTGCCGTTAGCCTTTCTGACAGAGAAAGTTGGCGCTAAGCGTTTAAAATTCTTTCACTCACCAAGCCACTTCGTGATTTGTACTGAAAGAAGTGTCGACGACGTCATACAGAGACTATTGCTGTTTGACGCAATATTCGGTACCGGGTTCTAGGTCATCTTCATGGTGCACTACCTCTTCCTAAGGTAACATGCAAAATAATTTCTAGTCGACATGTCGTGGTACACCTTCCTAGTAATACATGAAGGATCCGTAGGACCCTTAAAGGCAGGTGATCCACTCGTCGCTTTCGTGCCTGTAATGACCGACAGTAGCCATTTCATATCGTCGCATCTATGTACCTTTTGCATGCATTGTGGGAATTGATTAAAAAGAATCCTCGCCGTCGCTTGCATACACATATATATGGTGTTCCCAAACGAATACGTGGCATCTCAATTGAAGTCAAAACGTTCTGTGTGATCCAGAATGCTGGTTTTGACCTGGGAAGTTGTACTGGTGACCAGACCAAAGTGTCTCCGTCTTTCGAAGTGGGTGACATAAGCCAGACCCTTCTACAGGATACATTCCACAAAAGTTAAATTTAAGCTTTTCAAAGTTCGAGCTCGGTACACCCAAGATCTTGTATCTGTTAAATCTGAGTTTAACCCTAGTACACCTTTGATATATAAATCAGGAACCAAAGGTCTATAAGTAAAACTTTTGAAAGCCCTTTGGGTGATTTGCTTGTAGCAAGGAACACGTAGCTCATTTTAATTCCGTCGAAATTTACCTCTGAGGTCTGAAATCGCTCTTTTCCCTCCAAGTCGGGATTGTCCTTCTCCCACAGCGTCTGGAATTGCTTCCTCGCCGCGAAAACGTGTGTTTAATGTTTGAGGGACTGTTGTGAACAGCGCCCTCTTCCTGTGCCTTGTGACTCCTCAAAAAGGCAAATTGATTTGTAACAAATGACGAACTCGATTCTTCTGTTGGTGCCGTTCCGCTGACCTCGCCGTGCTACACTTCCTTGCACATATTACCGTATAAAAATTCTTTTAGCGCCTTAAGATCTGCTGTCAGAGGAAATAAAGGAATGCAATAAACTAATTCCGTTCCTTTCCCATGAATAAGTTTTTTCGAAACAAATTCATGCACCGCGCGGTGGCCCCGTCACACGCTACTGACACGTTCACGTCGTGGCGAGATTTAACGATCCTATCTATTTCCAGTACTCTTCCTCTCGCGACTGACAGTCAAATTTCTACTTCTACGTCTCTGGTACGCGAGATTGCGGTTCCCGGTTGCTCAAGCTCTCTACCAGTGCAGGAACACGAGACAATGTTTCAGATGTTCAAGTTAGTCCTGATAGGACCACGACATACAGTGGTCTTTTCTCGTCTCAACTGGAATACACTCTGTAGATGTACATTCGCTCGTGATAGCTCGTCTCACCGCAGCTCCTGCCTTCCAAGGTCTGCTCAATACACCAAGCAATTACATTGCTATTGATTCGAACAATATCATGTTATGTTTTATGTTTAGTTCGTGCCTGTGTGAAAAGCACTTCTGCTTCTCATTTGATAACTCGCCAGTGCTCCACCAAACGGAAACTACGTGGCACCTGATTTTCTCGACTTCTAGTCGGTCCTATCCCTAGAATACGATTGTATTTTGGATCAAGCTTCAGGACTAGACATCCGTTCACGCCGCCAGAGTCGTCAAACTCCACTTGAATATTACTAAACCCTTCGACACTTTTACCAGTATCCCGTCCACAGACGCACATTTGTTGTATCCACATTTGGCATGTTTCATGCCTCTGCGTACGACTGTCTACTGTTTAACAGCCGTATGTAACTGCACGACACTCCTGACTTTTCACATCGTATCTCAACAATTGACAAATCGGGGAGCTCTCAAAAACAATATCTTCGGTTAATAGTGAGACCCATTGAGTACGACATTCACTTAAATATATTGAATTGCCTTATTCTTCAGATTTAGACTGTAAACAAAGCGAGATTTAGATATGACTCCAACGCAATTTTCGGGGTATTTACAATCAATAACACAGTGCATTAATTTCCTTTGCACTTGAGATATAGTTATGTCGATGTTCGTCGTAGTTGGCTCCAGGGAGCCGCTGTACAAGATGGAAATGCGGGCGCGACGCGAGGAAACCGCACACGTGGATGAATTCGTCCTACATGCATCACTGGACTTAGTCGACGAGCTCATGTGGACGACGCCTGCCATGGCGCTTAAGGTCGTGGATCGGTTCAACGATCAGCTTGTATCGGCCTTCGTCACGGCATCTGGTATCAAATTCTTGCTGTTGCATGAAACCCGAAATGACGATACAATCAAGGCATTTTTTCATGAAGTACATGAGCTTTACGTGAAGGTGCGAATCTGATGAAAAGTATAGTGGATGTGTTTCTCTTCATGGGATCTAATATGTGGGTTGTTTGTTATCTGCAGTTGTTGATGAACCCCTTCTACGAGTACGATACGCCAATTTTCTCCGAGGTGTTCGACGCCCGGATAAAGACACTAGCACGGAGATATTTGTGATCTAGCGTCAAATGAACATAATAAAAATACTAGACAGAAGACAAATTTAATTGCAAAATAGCTCTCTGAATTTGGCGGCTTGCGTAACTAAAAACTTAAGCTCGGACAACTTGGCCGGCAATGCGATCCAAATCTTGCTGTCCGTGGCTGGTGATCTTGCGACCACCCTTGTTCACACCTTCGGGACATTTCTCCACAACTTTCATCTCTTCTAGTTGTTGCAGGATGTGGCGAATTAGACCTCCTGATGCCTTTTGGAAGTGCTGACGGTGTACACCTTTGCGTGCGGCACCACCGTATACCTTTTTCAGGGAGCCAACACCAGTGTACTGACGCAGATATACCTTGCGGGCGATAGAAGCGGCACGAATGTAATACCAGTCCTGGTCCGCTGGGGAGTATTCCTTAAACGAAGCGGTTTTTACAACATCCCACCATGCAGGTAGCTCAATTTTGCCTGAACGCTTCAAATGCTCAGCATAAGCCTTAATGAAGTCAGCGGGCTTTACGTCGCGGACAGTCACACCGTTCACAACTTCGTCTTGGTCATAGTCAGCCATGTTGAAGTCTGATGCAGATCACATCAAAAGAAAGGTTAAGAACACGTCTGTACCACCGCACTTCCAGCGAGACTCTAAGTCGCCGTTTGAGACAGACATTGAGCCGCACCAGTCACGCAGGACAGTCTCGGTCTTAAGAAACATCGTCATTATAACGCGTAACCCAAAACTCTCTACGACAAATAATAGTCGAGAGGCGCTATCAGTAGGAGCAACCATAGACATAGCTATCCATCACTGCCCACTATACACCGAGCGGCCCCACGCACTACTCAATATGAAACATAGACACAAAAACTTACTTGATTAGAGAGGAACTTTGCAACAGATAATGAGATTTCGGAGGAATGGGCAATTAGTTCGATGCTCCACCACCAGTGAAAAACAAATGCCATTTTATAGCCAATCATTCGGTATATCTTGTAATTTTCATTTGATGGATTGGCTGAAATGATCTGTTCGTGCAGCCACTCGATATATTCGTATTTATCTTTTATATTTCTCTCTTCATATTCTACGATGTTGGTTCTATTTGAGACAGCGGCAGGGCATGCGCTCTTTAAGGTACAGGATGAAGCCAAACTTGCTAGTGCGGATGACGTCTACAAGTACTTTGCAACGCCAGAGAAAGCTACCAAAGTGCTGAAGCTTAAAGGTTTCAATGCCTTTAAAAATACTACTGAAGCCGTTGCTGCTGCTACGGAAATGGTGGACGGCAAGATGGGCAAGACGCTAAGAAAGTTTTTAAAGAAAAATGTCGTGGATGCTGGTCTTAAAGACAAATTGGCCGTTTCAGACAAAGCCCTTGGTGCAATTATCAAGGAAAAACTCAGCATTGCTTGCGTGAACGACACCGCAGTGAACGAGATCATGCGTGGGATTCGTGCAAACATGGACACACTTATTACCGGATTAGAAGATGATGACCTCAAGGCCATGACGCTTGGTTTATCACACTCGCTTTCGCGGTACAAACTTAAATTTAGTGCCGACAAGGTCGACACTATGATTGTGCAAGCTATTGGTCTATTAGACGAATTAGACAAAGAGATCAATACGTACTCGATGCGTGTACGCGAGTGGTTCGGTTGGCATTTTCCTGAAATGGGCAAAATTGTAACAGACAACTTGCAGTACGCAAAATGCGTACGTAAGATGGGTATGCGTACGCAAGTCAAATCCCTTGACTTCTCGGATATTTTGTCCGAAGACGTCGAGGCTTCAATGCGTGAGGTCTGTGAGATATCCATGGGCACAGATATCTCTGAAGAGGACGTCACCAATATTTCGGCTCTCTGTGACCAAGTCATCTCTTTGACAGAATACCGCGCCCAGCTTTTCGACTATCTCAAAAACCGCATGAACGCCATCGCACCCAACCTTACCGTAATGGTGGGTGAGCTAGTCGGAGCTCGTCTAATTGCCCATGCTGGTTCCTTGATGAACTTAGCTAAGCATCCTGCGTCTACTGTACAGATTCTTGGTGCCGAAAAAGCTCTTTTCCGCGCACTGAAGACCAAGCATGACACTCCCAAGTATGGGCTTATCTATCATGCTTCACTGATTGGTCAGACCGCCCCTAAGCACAAGGGTAAGATTTCGCGTGTCCTAGCTGCGAAAACTGCGCTGGCTGTACGTGTGGATGCACTAGGCGATGCTACAGAAGCTACGATTGGCTTTGACAACCGTGCTAAAGTCGAGGCCCGTGTGCGGCAGCTAGAGAATGGATTTTCAGGTGTGCCAAACAGCAATGGTAAGACTAAAAATGAAGCAAAGAAGTATGTCAAGACTGAAACGAGCAAGTCGTACAACGCTGATGCTGACATGACTTTGTCCGGTAAGAAACGGAAAGCCGAGGAAGATGGTGAGATGGAGAATGAGGAAGAGGAGCCTAAACTGAAAAAGGAAAAGAAAGAAAAGAAGCACAAAAAGATGAAGGCAATCGAAGAGACCGCTGAGATGTCGACAGACAAGAAAGAGAAGGAGAAGAAGAAGAAACACAAGAAGAAGAAAACCGCAGAGAAATAGATGCGTAGATAATGGTGAGAGTGCTTCATAGGGCTGGCTCAATATACTCTTTCAAAATGTTTTCATCTTTTCCAAGACTAATTCAACAAGGTGATAGTCATAATGGCCTGCTCAACTCATAATCCATTGGGTAAGCTTAAGGTCTGATGTGTTTCGCGTTTCACCATTAAAGTGTTTGAAATGACCAGAAAAAGCAAATGCTCCACAAACCTTCATTATGGCAATATTTTAACTGGCATCTACGAATAACAGCAGCTGTAACTTAAACTAATCTGGGTCACTCGTGACTTGGACAAATAGACTCAAGTAAATCCAAATTTAATTACGAATTTCATCGATCAATGTGATGAGCAATAAATCAGCAACAATGGCTGTCCTTCGTTGACGGTGACGCTGCTATAAAATAGCATGGACTTCCCCTCCAAAACCTTTCCCCTTTAAGATGTTAAAGTGACGCTGCTTTCGCTTATTCTTAACTAAAAAACTGTCTTACATTTGATCTCTAAAAAATCAATCCAGACACATGGCGTGTATCTGAATCCAATACTGATTTCTTCGGCTTTGCACTCAGCATTGATAGCTAAGTTATCTCGTGTTTGACCTGCCAAATATACGTTCGACGGTATTCACCAGGTTATCAATGGTGAAAATTATGTAAATGAGTAAATTTATAAAGGCGAGATCTACAGTCAGATAGTAGAGTTGACATTAGTGATGTGTGAAAGAGAGAGATGCGAACGTAGTATTAATAGCTTGGTCATTACACGTACTTGGAGAAAATTAAGAGGTTCTTGCGTCATGAAGTTCAATGGATGATTGGCAAATGCAAAAGCTGTCGGCGTTGTTAATTGTCTTTACTGCAGGATGAAAGTACTCAACCACGGTCGCAATTAAATTTCTGGTTTTTGATGCATTTACGTCTATCTATGGATTGAAGAAGACCATAAATTAAACAGGATTCTATAATCAAAAAATCAATACGTAAATGAGCAGCTACGAGCAACAAAGGGGTGGTGAAGTCAGAAGCCGGTGGTTGGAAGTGCGTGGTAAGGTGCAGAAGGTGATGTTTCGTCAGACGGTAATTCGAGCCATGCAGAAGCGTGGACTAGAGGGAGGAGCCAGCAACGACCGCCAGGATAAAAATCTAGTTCGAATAACCATGCGCGGAAATCCAGATCAAATGGAAGAGATCGTGACTGCTTTGCGCGAGGGCAATCCTATTAATGACTGGGGTGCTATGGCCACTAGTGTTGAGGATGTGGATAGTGAAAGCGGCATGGTTATGGAGGCTCATCAAGTGACTACAACCACGGTTGACAATCGAAGCTGGAACCCGAACGTGACTATGTTTCTTTAAACAGGTCAATGACTATTTCATTAAAAGACATTAGGTTGCAAGTAACGTTCTCAAAGAGGTTAGAAGATGCTGGAAATCACGTCTCAGTCATCATCGCTGTCGTCAGCATTGGCTCGACCGCCGCCAAGCATTCCTGCTAGCAGCGAAGATGGATCGGCAGATCCCATTTCTTCCTGCGCTTTCTTTAATTCCTCTGGATCTGTTCAAATGCAAACACGTCAGAAAAAAATATTTTACCGTCTGTGTGCATTTCTTAGACGTACCCATTCCTTCCGATAGCTTAGGCAGCACATACAATAGAACAATCGGTACCACAATTGTCAAGAAGGACGGACTCATGATAAGGCTTAATAGACTGAATTTCTCGCGCTGTTCAAAATAATCGAGTTGCTTGACAGGCTCCACGACTAGAGGGTAGGAGGCATGTATTTTGGGGGCACCTGGATACTTGTACTCCAGAGCGCGAGTAAAGCCATCAACTCCTATATCCAGTTTGTATTTGCTAAAAAGAAACTGCGTTGACGGGATGTCGATAACGTAACGCCCCGGCTTTAGGTCGCGTATAACGAAAGAGCCGTCAGCGCGAACAAATGTCGTGTGCTCCCCACCATTTACTTGCACTTTAAATGGATGCACCTTCTCCACCACAGAGCCTTGTGGATACACGGTCCCACTAATACTATAAGTCTGTACGCAGGTTGCTACTAGCCCTAACAGCAGCACCAACAGTAACAGCGCCATTATGATGAGAGGGGGTGGAGATGTGATACACAAATGATCAATTATTGCATTCCGAAAAATACTTTTTTACAGTAGTCAAATATGCATTCTTGAAATTTGATCGAATTTGAGATGAAGTAGGAAAAAGCACACCTGAGTAATCATAATGGCAAAAATTGCTATGCAGAAGCAAGTATTTTCTTTGTATCCTACGTAGAATGACTATCACAGAACCATTCAGTCTGTCCCTACAGCCAAACATCGCACAGCGGCAAAGAGTACTACGTTGGTATGGGCGGCAGGTGGTGGAGTAGGAGCAGGGAAATTACAAACGTTAAGGGTAAGATACAAACACGGCAATTTAGGGTGACATGAGGAGCACGATAACAGACATGAACTATTGTCAGAGAACTGCAGAATTCCCGAAGAACAAAATAAGTTTTAAAAGTGCTGCAAAAAAACCAATATGGGGATTTGACAAAATGATCTGACAATACTAAAACTTTTGTTGCTGCTGCATATAAAAGAAGAAGTGGCTTTTCCTATTGTCTCTGTGTGTGCAGAGATTTCCATCCGAGGATTAATAGCATCGACTTCAAGAATCGTACCACAAATAAGATGTTGTGACGATAAAGATGGGGATATTGACAAAAAACAAATTGTGCAGAGTGCAAGTAAGAATCTCTGAGTGCACTCAATTCGAATACGTCCTTTTGGTATATGGTAGCAAAACGTATTCCTTCCACTCTAATATCCTCCCCGCGATTACACCACAGTAGCATCAACTTGTGTGACCCCACTGAAGCCGACGACTTGGTGTTGTTTCAGTGCTTCGGTTAACATGTCTGCGCGCATGAGCTCCGCCTTAACAAAACCATTTTACAATAAGCCACAACGAATCTAATAGCCCAGAAGACTGCAAAACACGATCGCTCCAACTCGTCTCTATGAGCTCTGGCAGAAGAGATACGACCTAAAAGTTATATTTTAAATTTTTAGCATATGTAATCTCCGGGGAACGCAGCATATCTCAGCACTGCCTGATTTATCAGTGATACACTTCGAAGACCGTGAAACACGGTGAAATACATCAATTGTCTATCCAGCAAAAGAACGAATTACACGTCAACCTTTATCACACGTCTGGTCTCTTCCACCCAAACACGAAGGGCACCAACATAGACAGCTCGGAGAAAGTGTTCATGATAGAACGATCGAGCTGACGATATCAAATGAGCCACCACGAGCGTCGGTCAAGTGAGAGCTAGCTGAACTAAAATCTATTTCGGATTAATCAGAACGACGTGACATTGCGTCTACCAGCACGTTTAGTTTCCCTGGTTTGTGCACCATCTTTGACACACCGCAGACGCGCTTTTGTGGAATGTCAAGAAGCTCGCGTACCATCTATGACACCGAGACACACTCAGCATCCATACTTCTTGGAGGCCAGCTTACGAAAATACCATTTAGCAGCACTACCACACCAGTATGTACCGTTATCTACTTGTCGGCAGCAAATACAGCAATACCGTCAGACACGATCATCAGAGATATGTTGCGGTTGGTAGTAACACTGTGGCTCATTACTTTTTTATTTTAAGATGACGCAAAATTCTTTTTGCTAGCCACTGCGAAATCTGGACGCGTGCATCGTGCAACCCAATTTAGACTACCAACAAGCGACTGAAAAGGACAGATAAATGGCGACCCGAGTTTCGTGTTCTCTCGCAGCAGCACACTTTCACATGACTTCGTTATCCCACCAGTCGTATGCATTAGGTTAGCCGATACTATGCCGTACTTTCGCGATAACTGATCATTAGCCTTTTTCTGATCAAAATCATTTGCGCGCATCGTGTGTCGCCTTTCATATCGAGAGACCTTGACACGGTTCCGAGATACTTAATCAAAAGCAAGGTCATAACAATCAGTAATCGCTTAGCCGCACAGCTTTTTTACTGATACTATATAATCGCTCTCATATACTCAAGCTGCATTTGAATCATCTTCGTTGCAGGAGCATGTCAATGATTGATTGGATCATAAGGTCTTCTCCGTGTCTGTCTTGATGTTGATGTTTGGGATTTCGTCGTGTTTTGCCGTAACCCCTCAGATATCTGGAGTGGTAGAATCACCTTTACTATCGTCATGTATATGATGGCGGTATAGGTAAGCCGAACTACGTTAAAGACGTGTTTATTACCACAGGCAACAAGCCGCACCTTCAAGTGCTTCACCTCTGGTATTGAAAGCTCAACTATCGTTCTATATGTTGATCCCAGTGATCACTTGCTTAAATTTTAAACGTCGATCCCTTTAAGCACAAATAACTGTTTCGATCATTGTATTGCCCTCTACGGCGAGCGCGAAGGTCTTTGTACCCGCCCCATGAGCTTGCATAGCGATCGCTACCATCCAAATTGGCCGTCTCACACCTTCTGCGCTTTTAGGATCTCGCAAATCGCAAGTTTTTTATAATCTATCTCATTTATCTCCGTGTGGCAACTCATATTGCTTGTTACAGGGTGCCAACATAAATGCAACAATTCAATGCACGAACTCAGGTAATAATAGATACAGATTATACATTTTCGTAGCTTTGTTACTGGTACGAGTTGGACAGATATCACTCTCTGCAGCGGGGCCGCCGTAGCTATTTGCTTAGTGGAAGTCACCGACCTTACGTTCTATGCTAGAACCAGTATGAGTGTAGCGGATCGCAATCTGCTTACCCAAAACCGTAACCCAAGGCGAAAGCACTTTTCCGTTCAAAATTGAAACTCTATTTATCTTTTATTTGTGGCAGAGCTGCCTATATCTAAATCTCTAGGTTTCCTAATCAAATAGTAAAGCCTAATTAATACGCATAACTTCTCGTACTCCCGCCATGTAGTGGCTTCTTGTTACTTTCAAACCACACTATTGTGTGGTTACATCGTCTTGTGTAATCCACACCTTTGTACGGTCATACCATCTTGTGTGACCCATCCTTTGATACCAGGGTACGTGGACCCCGTTACACATTTCCCCCGTTCAAATTGTAAATACTCACAATTCACATTTAACTGTCGCCACGTGCGAGGCTCGCGTGTCTTTCATACCTTTACGTCCTCAGGAAATTCTTCACATCTTCTCTGCTTAACTAGCTTTGTGTCTATGACACGAAAAAGACCCAGCCTTGCTGGGTCGGAGAGCGTTCGCAAGCAGAGCTCTTTTTCATCTTCTGCACGCGACACAACTTCGGTCAATACGTCCGCGGCTTCAAGGAAAGCACATACCAAGCCCTCGGTAACCGGGCACCGCACACCACGCCACGGGCAACGAGTTTTCCTCGTTGGAAATTCAGCGATATTCGACTACGAGTCGAGTACTCCTTTACCAGCGTCGTAGGTGCACCTCTCCCTGCTCAAACCTTGCGAACACCATGTCCGTTTCCTGGCTTCTCAACTTCCAGAGGTAGTGGTGGATTTACCAATCGCCTCGAAGAGGTACAGAAGCAGCAGTTGGAAGCTGCTCACAGGGCGGCTCTTGTACGCTCGTATCCACGTTTGGCCCTAAACCCTCTTGCGGAATACGGCTTCCACTCGGTGGATCCTGCGCCGCCAGCTACTACACAAGCTGAGTTTGACCAGCAGAAGGTCTCCAAGCTTGCTTCTTGGTACCTCAGGAAATCCCATAGGATAGGTACCGCGCTCGACTTCCCGCTTAAAGAGAAGGGGCACTTCTGTACTCGCAATGCGGACCATCCAAAGGTGCTCGCCATTAGCGGAACCGTTGCAGATGATGAAGAACTCTTTGAGCAATGGGTGCAGCGGCACCGAAAACATTCCTCGCTTTCGAAATTACAGCGGAGCCACAAGAAAGTGGACGTGCGCATAGAACGCCATCTTCGATTTGCCAAACACAAGGCGCAACGCCCGATTCCTACGTATTGCGTCCTCTGAATATGGAATAATTCATCACGCTTCCGCAAGATCTGCGGCTCCCAAATGGTTGAGTCTACGACCACAGCAGCTCAGAGTTATAGCTTGAGCTCAGCAGATGGCTCATCGGCCTCCAGGACTACTGCAGAGAAGAGAGGGGCGTACGGTGATGCCCTCTGATCATAAGCGTCTACGACGTCTGGGCAGTCTTGCCAAAATGGCACCTCAATCACCCACGGGTTCTCGGGGTTTAAGTATCCCCGCCACCTTACAAGATATTTGATTTGACCTTGACGACGACGTCGAGCTACAAGGCATCCCACGGGATAGTGGACGCCATCATTCTCGTCGAGAAGGGTCGGCAGCGGCCGATGATGACGTGATTTATACTCGCGATGCTTTTGAGCTCTTGAGAACAAAGTTCGTCGTCATCGGCACTTCGCTGGGCATCTTTCCAAAGTCGCCTACTGCTGTGCGGAAGACCCCAAGTGCTTGGCGCACTTTCTGCACCAATTGCCGCACGTTCAACACTAACGCGCTCTGTCGGAACGGCTCCTAGCCGTCGAGCAGACTATATGTCACTTCATGCGACGGTGGAGCGTCTGGCGCCGTCGGAAATGGAAATTGTTGCACTCCGTGCTCAAAACCAGTTGCTGGTTCAGCTTCCGTATGGTCGAGCACCTGTGGGCGCGACCCCCACGCCAACGCTTCCGCGTTCACTTGCACTGGATCCCAGTACGGCTTAAGCATGCCCACATAAGACCGGGTGGGTGCACATCCTTCTCGAACGATTGACGTATACTCAAGGTCTTGCTTGACCACGTTCTTGAAAGGTCCAATAAACCTTGGACGGAGCTTCGTCTTAATGACAGCGGAAACTGCATTTGTAGGAAGGTGTTTAGCATTTAATAAAATCAGGTCTCCGACCTCAGTGTTTTCAACACTTCATCTTCCTTTTCCGTCTGTATATTCCTTCAGCATGTCTTGGCTTCCAGCCATCGCATCGCGAACGTGTCGTAAGACACTCAGTCTGATAGACAGGAAGTCATCGACTTCTTTTTGGTCGCTGAATTCAGCTAGCCGTTTGGCTATTCC